GTGTGTGTTCCTCGTTCTCGATGACAGCAGCTAGAAAGTCAGTCCGATGTCGCGCACAAACTGTGCAGTTCGCTTCAACTCTGAGAGACTGCCATAGAGCTTTCTGTCAAGGGGAGCCACAATGTGTGCGTGTATGTGTGTGTTTGTGTGTGTGTGCTTGTGTGCGTGTGTGTGTGTGTGTGTGTGTGTGTGTGTGGTTTCCATTATGAGAAGGGTAGATTGTGGGGCGTGGCTCTATTAAAACCCCAAGCTCACTCCCATCTTCCCACACACACACACACACACAGTGACGTGAGACAGATCGATTCGACCATAATTTTAACATTCCAAATATTGAAAGGGGCATCTTGATGGATGGTTGCCTTTTTTTTTAATAGCTCGTATGAGATTGACAACATGCATTCCATAACGATTTAGTTACTAGAATATCAAAAAGAGGTGGGAGGGGGTTGTTGTTTTTTTTTGGGGGGGGGCCGTAGAGTGACGCTCGTGAATTCTATTTCTTTTCTTTCCTTTAGTTATTGTGTGGGTGTGTTTGTTTGGGGTTCTTTGTTTTTGTTTATATTTGGTCACTTTTAAGCACAAGGGGGCTATCCCGAAAAATGCTGTTTTGAGAAAATCAAAGGTAAAGTTTTTGCCCCTTGTTCAGTTTCTTTCAAAGACAAGGAGAGTTTTCTCTATAGGCCTAACCAAACGAAATTAAATATACACACCAATGAAAGCAAACTCCTATAGGTAGGGGAAAGCAAAATTTTGGTGTAAGTCAAGATTTCTGGAAACCCCCGAAGTCTTGGTTAACCCGCTTGTCGTTACAAGCGACCATTTGTTTGTCGGAGTGGAGATGGGGATCCCCCGGGGCGGTGCCACAGACGGTAGTGTCTTTAGGCCATTCCCAAAGGGGGGACATTTCTCGTTCAAGCACAGTAGAATTGTAAATGGGCTGATTCATGTCACGCTCATAACTGTGCCTGATATGCAACAGGGAACTGCTGCTTTTTCTTTCCTAATCCTTACTATTGTCATTTTCCTCTACTTCTTTTGTATGTTTGTCACACTCTTGTGACCCGCTATTTCCGGGTGCCTTGATAGTTGAAGCAGACCTTGTGCTGTTGAAGCTAGATAGATGAGCAGAGTAAGTCTGATTCCCTGTAGGGACTTCTCTGTTGACACCCACCCCTTGGCGCTCATATGACATTATGCCGTTAAGTTGCGAGCGCTGTAAAACCCTCTACTATTTTTTTAAAAAGGAGGTGGGGGTAACGGGGAGGGAAGAGTGGCCCTTATGTAGCGTCACTTTTAAAAGAAAGATGTTTTGTTTGATAAAGAATACACTTATAAAGAAAAAAGCGTTGTTTCTCTTTGTGGGCATTTCGGTGATTAAATGAAGAGTTTTATACATAACAGTTAACAGAAATATAATATTCACACCTGTGCAATGTTTGCAAGTTCATTGGCTGCCAGTATACCAAGCGACACGAAAAATTCAGTTTTTTAAATTCTTATTGCTTTTAAGCGAAAAACGCATTCATAAAAATATTAAAGAAAATGTTGAAGAGATGGGGGTTTTTTAAGCTACACGTTTTGGGCGCTTTATTCTTCCTTCAACAGATTCAGGTTAAGTTGAAGACTGAGAAAAGGTAAATACATGCAGGCCTACACATGTGTCTTTATGTGCCATAGGTTATTATTATAGGCCTAAGTGCCAAAATTTGGGTGTTACAAGAAAGTAACAAACACAAAAAAGGGTAGAAATAAGGACGATAGATGTTTGACAGGAAAGAAGGAGCAATTCCCACACCAGAGCACCCGTCAACCACCCACCAGGTAGCTCTGTATCATTGTGATTTCAAACAGGCTGTAGTAGGCCTCGTTGTTTAAGTCTTAGTTGGAGTGTGTAAAGCCCGGTTACACGCAACGATAAATTGTGTCAGATTCGTCGTATGCGAGAACTGTCCGTTTTATCGAACCGTGTAGTCTGTTTAGACGTTCCAATCTATCGTCCAGTTTTCTTTCGATCAGGGAGATGCCTAGTCATTGACTTGACTGCAGACTGCACCGGGTGACCTTGATACACAACTTCACAATTAACGATCAACTAAACAATAGAATATTTGCTAAAATTTACCTAATAACGAATCAAATCAGGTTCCTCGCGAGCAGCTATGCTTATTTTGAGACGCTGATTCTGAATATTATTATGAAATCAGTTTTTACCTGCGATAACTATTTTTAAAATTTTGAGCCCTAAGTTTAACCCCGCGCGGCGGCAAATTTTAAAGTGATTCTACGTCACAGCGCGTCTCCCCCAAA